AGCAAATTCATATCGGTGTTGAAGAGTATTATCGATCAAAGTGTCCAATGCTGGCTCGTTACATAGGGTGGCTCGCGACGCCGGGAGGGACGTTAAACCTCCAGTACAGTGCGGGCGCAAGAAAATTAATCATACAAGATGGATGCCCAAAAGGAGAAACCCGCCCGCCCCCAATGTCCCGGTCAGTCAAGCAAGAGAGAGAGAGAGATAGAAGGAAGAAGAGGAGGAAATAACCAGAACACACAAAACAACTCTCGCCGCGACCCATTACGCCTTCTCGTGGCCGATTTTTCAAAAGAGGAAGAGGCTTGAGAAAGGAGAAAGAAACAAGTGATGAAGAGTTTTTCTAACCATCGAAAAGGAGAAACGCCATGGGAACAAAATGCTGTGCATCTCTGAGATGTGGACAGGAAACTGGAGAGAAGAAAGTGAGAAAAAGAAAAACGTACAGCAGACGGATTAAAAGAACAGCATGCGAGGAAAATACCAGAGGAAATATGAGATCATCAATACATATTTCTCGTCGCCGTTTCATTCGGCGTTTCGTAGAGCGCGTGAGGATTGAAAAGAGAAACTTCAGGTCAAAAAAAGGATTTCGGGCCTCTCAGTGATATTGGAACACGTTCGGGTGGTGCTCCATGGCCATGAACTGTGTCGGGGCGGCGGCGGTCATGTGCGCCGCCGTCGTCGTAGTAGCTGGTCCGGGCGGCGGAGGTGGTACCGTTGAGTACATGGTGTGCGGATGATGCGGGAATTGATACAATGAGGAAGTCGAAGGCTGTGGAACTTCGGGAAAGTGCTGGAATGATTCGGTGGGTGGTGTCGGGCCGGCCATAGACATGGTGGCCGATGGGGGGAAGTGTGGTCCTCCGGCGGAGGAGGCCATCATGGCGGGCGAGGGCACGAAGTATGCGTTCGCTGCGGGTTGAGGTGAGGACATGTAGGGGATGTAGTGCGGCCGATCCTGCGGCGGCTGTGATGTACGTGGCGAGATGTGTCGATCGGAATGGGTCTGATTGCTGCTGATTGATAGGCTGTGCTGACGACGGGCACTTTGCTGCTTCGCAGACGATCCCAGTTCTCGTGTCGAGAGCTTGCGACGTTTCAGTCGCGGTTCTGGTGATGGTCCTGGGATTCCAGCGGGAGCGGCCCACTCTGTCGAAGTCATGCTGACGCTGGACACGTTGGAATGTGTGGCCACGTGTGTTTTTTTCGCTGGCGCATCAATCGGAGCACGCATGAACAGTTCCATGTCGGTTGAGCTCATCTGCTGGTTATAATCTGGCATAGCAGATGCTTGTTGCATTGCAGGGATTTCCTGCATCTGCGCATATCGCGCCACCAGTTGGCTCGGATTCGTCGACATTTCCGGAGCGACGAAAGAGTATGCGGCCGCGTCTGGCTCGCCAACAGAACCATTCGACGACCGGGGAGTCATGTGCGGACCTGGAACGGCGAGAGGTGAGAATGCTACGCTGTCAATGGCGGATTCTGCGTGAGAGCTGACAGAAGGCGGGCTGACAAAAGAGGTCGGTGCGTAGGCCGCTCTCGGGGTCTGGCTCATCTCTGTCATACCATCATAAGCGGTTGGATCAAGACGTAGGCCGAGTCCATGCCTGTTCTTCGCAGCAACAGGCACTCCCGAAGGTCCCATCGAGACTCTCGGACTGGGATTAGGACCAATGGCGGGCGCCATCGGAGTGAGAACGACCTCGTGCTCGAAGAGGTTCCCAGGAGGAGGGGGGTTGTCGGCACCGAAACATTCCCGAACAATGGTATACCAACGCTGGACTTGATCCGGACGACAGCCATATTGGGCAATGGTCAAGAGGCATTTCTGGATGTCCGGCGGGATGTTGTCGATGGTTTCGATCAGATTGACTAAACCGGCTGGTTGCGCCATTGCGGTAGCAGATGAGTTCGGAATCAGGGATGGTTGCCCTTTCGGAACCTGGCTCGTGAAGCAAGTTGTGAGGCCAGCTCGAACAACAATACAATGGTGAGAGAGGTGTGGGGGGTGGTGAGGTCGAAACGGAATGCAAAGGGCAGAAGCGATAGCAACAACAGCAAGAACAAATGAAGTCGTACCAAGGAAATATGACAGCAAGGAAAGTCGTTTGACAGGAAAGATACAGGTAGGAAATGAGGTCTCGAAAACATTCACCAACATGATGGAGTGGAGGAGGCCATTCACTTTATTGTCCAACGATCGACCCCGGCCATCACATGCAATAGCCGTGACCGCAAGCAAGTGCCGACGTCAGCAATGGCTGTTGACGAACAGGGCTACCCAGGTCAACGTCCGCTTGCCTGTTCGGTGGGTCTGTCCGCAGTCTATGCAAGTTTTGAGAAAAAGTCTACCCAGGTGTGCAACGGTCAAGGCAAAAAACCGCGGCCGCCGGTACATGCATGGTGTGCATACCTAGTACCTAGTAGGTATGCGCTTGACTTGAGGTGGGGAGTGGCTTCGTGGTGTGGGACAAAAGCCGCTATTCGTGGACTTTCCAGGTGGGAGCAGTACAGTAGGATCGCGCGCGCAGGGAAAGAGACAGATGGACAGAGCAGAGACAAGAGCGTGGCTTGGTCTTGCGGCTCATCCTCTGTCATCCCTGTTGTATCATTCATATTACTATCGCACTCGGTGGCCTTATCACTATTCCCTCGTCAAACGTAGCACTTTGTTCTTCTGCACATTGGGCCCAATTATTACAGTGCCCCGGACAATTGCGATTCCGGGCTATGGTACACAGCTGGTTCAGTGATGGCGGCTTGAATGTCGCACACCGATTTCTCACAGAAAGAAATGGATCGCGATGCAGGGATCGTCATCTCCATGCAAGTGTCATCCGAACCTAGAATTCGACGTGCACAAGCAGTCGTGGAAAGGCGAGAGAGGGCGTGAGATGTGAGAATAGTGCCGCACACAAACCTCGAGCTGCACAGTCGCAAATAAACTTCCGCCAGAACTCCAAACATAGATCCATGAGCAAAGATGAAACACGCTAACAATCGAGGCAAGGGAGACGTCATTCTCAAAGGTCGAGTACAGCAGGCGCCTGCAGAGTGGCGAACGTACCTAGGTATGTAGTCAAAAGACGTAGCATGTCGTCGTGGGTAGACAAACAGAAAATGTCTGCGTGAATGATGCGATGGGGGAAACAGCCGCAACCGAGAGAGAACTCACTTGATCACTTTCGAACTGGACGTGCAGAGCAAGTGCAGAAAATGTCCCGAGAATAGAAACGACCGGAGACTAAGGATACATTAGGCACCGTCAGCGGGCCGCAGCGATGCATGCACCTGGAAGTGGCCTATGACCGACGGCGCGCTCGAGGGGAAAAGAAAACATAAACCGCGAACTCGAATATAGGAAAGTATACGCAGGTACTGTTCAGTACATATTTTTCAATCGTCAGAGGTCTGAGTCGGTGGACTGCCTCAAAACAGTCCATGGCGTCTTAGAAACCATCTCATCACGATTACTGCAAGCCCATCATTTTAGTACTGATATCGCTCACGGCCATCACGATGCTCCCCCGCGGAACGCTGGGCACCTTGGGCACCGTAGAATACAAGGTGAATGCACAACAGCGACACATTGGCACATTCTGTACCGAATAATCTACATTATCTGTATCAAATTTTCGGCAGCATACACGTGCACCTCGAGTGCTGGTCGCCAGTGAGGTCGGTCAACTCTACCCGGCCAGGCACACGCACGCGGCACGGGTATTCGCGGTGCCATGCCATTGTGAGGGGCACGTTCATGGAACTGTGAGAGGGTGTGGTGGGTAGGCTGGTGGGGAAGAAACACTCCTCGGAGGATTTCTTGCGGGAGCCAGCATCATGTGATTGCTTGTTCCCTTTCCCCTTCTACTGTCGATTTTACAACCTGCAGGTCACTCACTGGCGCTGTAACATGCGCATGCAAGGTGTCTCCCCTAAACCCCACGTGCGGTTGTTTCAGGAAATGGAATAATGAGAAGAAGAAGCAGAAGAAAGAAAGAGCCATGTCCATGATGCTATTTTCAGACATGCATGCCCACTTCGGAAGGTACTCCATATACCATCCTTCACTGCCCAGGTGCTGTACCTAAAATACAGCCTATCGTAGAATCATTTTAAGAAAAACATTTCTTCTTCTAAACCGCTTCGAGGAGTTCTGCGGCTATTTCACATGACATCGCCGTTTCAGCCTTGCGAGAAGTTCACGAATCGGAAGGTCTCATCCACGGTTTTGTGCCTTTGTGTTCCGAGAAGAAGACTTCTTCCAGAACCCAGCCCACTCGATCTGTCCTCGTGCACGATTCTCCTTTGAGCCTCAAGCGCTAGGAGTATCCGTGTTCTCGCTTTCTTCTGGGTTGATCAACGGGAGTCGGCTCTACAGTGAGGTACCTGCAGATGCCATACACCACGATGATCGCCCAGCGCATGTTTCAGATCCGGAGGAGCAGTGAAATCCCATGCGCCCAAGCGAGCGTTCATTCCTGGAGGACTTGCTGCGTGGAAATCCGCATGTAAGATGGCGGCGGGCGGCGGCGGTGGAGGTGGTGGTGATGGCGATTGACTTCATGGGCGGGAAAAAGCGCCAGGGTTCATTTCGAGAACTGCATCTTTTCCACAATACCTTGGTGCATATGACATACATGTATCAATCATATGATAAGAATAAACCTGCTCGTGCCACTCGAGGGGTGTGCTCAGCATGACGGGCCTCATGGTATATTCGAGTGAGCCAGCCAAAGGCCTGATTTGCGACAATTTGTACACTGCCACACGCGGCTGTGCACGTGCGCCTGAATTCCGACATGCCGAGGGTGTGCCTATGCTTACTATTGTTGTAAAGGTGTTCTACCCATCGCATTCGAAATATTAAAATGCGGCGCCAAAACTTCAATGTATTCCGCCGCTATGTGTACATTGAACCAACACAATGCCTAGGTTCTGCTCTATACCACGCATGCCATACAAATGCCGGAATGTTCGACCGTTACATCGTTCGGTGTCACTCATTATAATGATAAACCTATTCTCGATTAGTCCCGCCTGTCGTACAGTACTCGGCTACCCGCAAAGTTGATCGTGATCGGTACTCACAAAATAGTTAGGCAGACCATAAGATTGCCATTTTAACCTCGAGGCCATCTTGGCGAACCCCTCTGTCTCGATCAGATGGTAGAAGGAAAAGGGTGGGAACATGGCCCCATCACGATGCACTTCGGCCTTGACGAGAAGTGCCGTGCCGCCAACACCGTCTAGCTCCATGAGCGTGCCAGGGTCGCCTTGCTCATCTGCATGTTCCGAATTAGCAAATTGAGAGCCACTCTATATTCGAGCTCCACGCCTCACCTCCCATGTGCGCCATCAATGTACGATATGTGGCCATTTCGGCATAGCCTTCCAGAATAATATCATCGGGACCCATCTTTTCAGCCAGCTCCTGTGCCGTGGTGGAATCTTGCCAGTTGTTGAAGTCGTACGCTCGTCTCAACATCGCACCCTCTTCTTTGTCGTAGTACCTCTGCCAGCAGTTTGGAGCAATAATTGGTTTGTCATGAGACGCTAGATCTTGGATCAGACTAGATGGAGTCTCGATGACATCTGCATCCAACCATAGCACCCACGATGTCGTAGGACCCAATGTTGTAAACAACAGACTGTTTCGGGCCTTGCTCATGGCCGCACGACGCTCTTTCTGGGCTGCCATCGCATGTCGCTGCGACTCGACCTGAGACACTGCCGATTCGGTCTCCTGTCGCAATATTGTGATTGACGCGAATCGATTCTTGTTGGATGGAGCCTGGGTCTTCGCAATCCTCTCTTGCAATTTCTTTGTGGCCAAGTTACCCTCCTTTCCCTTCGGAATGATGAATCCCAAAGATATCAACTCATGAGGATATGAAAGTTGGCATAAATTGTCCCAGTACTCCTGATAGAATTTCGCCATGGGTGTAAGGATCAGTATCGCCTCTCTGTTTCCCACGGGATCGCTCGAAGATGTGATATTGTTCATGGAGTAGTGAACCACCGGCGGAGGAGGTGGGCGCTCATTTCGTCCTAGAGCCGCAGGTTTGCGAAAAGGAAGCGAAGGTGGTGATAGGATGTGCGATGCGGCCTCTTTACTTTTGAGGAAGTGCCGAGGTGCTACTGCGATTGCTGAAATTGATGTGTTGTCGGCGAGGAAAAAGTATAGGAAGAAGATACCCAATACACTCGCGAGGACATAAGTGATTGGGTTCGTCCTTCGCGGGCTCCGAGGTCCAAGCATGGCAGGCAGATTTGCTCCAGTCAGGAGATGCAGACGTCCAACTCACGACCACGCAATGATCTTTCTCACTGGCGGGACGTTGACGAAATGGTCATTGACAGCTAATACTGAGTCAAACAGCAGCAGACATGTGCGTTCAGCTTACAACAGCTCCGGCATCACAATCGAATTTGGGCGGACCTGTTCAACAGCTCAGCTTTGCCGCCAGCAGCTATCTGAGATGCCAATGCGCAAAAGAGAGTCAGGAATGACAGAAAAGGAAGAGAAGTATGGACGACCTGGTTTAGAGATTATGAGTCTGTGAAGTGGATTGATACATAGGAGAATCCATCGCGGGATTCCATGGTCAACTGGAGAGACCCTCGCAGATGTATAAACGCGTGGCCTGTGTTTCAGAATGTCGTGGCCGAATTGCTGTGAGAAAACGTGCGCGCGGCTGAACCCCAGCGTATGCAGCTTGGTTCACACAATCGGCCTACGTCATTTGTCCAATAGAGTGCTTGCATTAATTTATCCAGTAAGCCATTACTTAACCCTAGCGAGAAAAGTGATGATTCAATGCGTCGATCCAATGCATGCATTTACCTAGTACCTAGATAGAAATAAATATTGACGTCGCTTGCAGATATCGACTTGACAACTAGAACAGATCATCTTTACCCACATCTCATATGGCTCAGTGCTGAGCCCTCTATTGTCTAGGGACGAAAGATAGTCGATGATCCGATGATTCGCCATCATTACCTACGATGTCGCGCTCCTGCCGACGAAATTCTCCCTTCTGTGAGGTCAAGATATACCGGAGCTCAACAGTGGATCATCAGGACTGCATCATCATCCTCGAGGGCACAACAGCATCATGGAAGGCCATTCAGTTCTGCTACATTGTCAACGAACGATTCAAATGATTCATACCATTTAGGCATGGTGACATCGTCGTCGCCGAAGACTACATCTGTTCGCGATCTCATCGATGCTATCAAAATTGACTCCAAGGCATCAGCGGCATCCTCTGCACTCAGCTCACCTCTACTCGCGCTATTCCTGACCCCCTCGTTTGCGGGAAATGAGTCTCTCTCCACATTGCCGCTACAGTTCATCAGTCGCGCATTCCGGCAGGATGGCTTTCAGGCGCAGTCGTTGGATGCCATTGTCGGCATCGTCGACCGTCTCCCTGATCCGACTGGCAGTCAAATCGCTCATGAAGGATTGACATACGCTTTCTTGCCCAATCCTAAGAAAGCATTCCGTCCATCACAATCGCTTTTACAAACGACTGCACAGAAACCAGGTTCCATCAATTTCAACCTCGCGCTTGACTCTGCAGAAACTACCTTACAGCTCCCATTATCACATACCGTGTTCTCCACGGGTCTGCCTTCGACATTAGTACATGCGCATTACACCAGCGAGAGTGCCACTGATCAACTCCAACTTCGTACAGAGACACACCTTGAATCAGAGACTCTGCCTTTCACGCTAGGGCCTGCGAAACCGTCTGTTAATTATCGTGCACCATTAGTACCACTTACTCCTGCACGTCCAGTTGCAAATTCCATGGGAAATATTGTCCGGAAACTGCTACCACATTCTTGGCAGGCTGCAATGCACCTGACCGATCTGACACGTCAAGCTGATGAAAACAAGTCTCTTTTGCCAGCATCCGAGGAGCTCGAAAGAGCAGTGACAAGATACTTCGAGTCTTTATCGATACCTCCTGCAGCCGTGCAAGTCTGGGCGCTCATCATCCCACGCTTGATCGGGGGCGAAGAGATCTCTGGACAGAGCGAAGCTGGAGTTTTGCTGGCCATGCAGGAGCAGCAAATGGAAGCCGCATGGAAGAGTGTAAGTCGCGAAGGCCAAGGACCGAACGAAATATGCAAAACATCCGAAGCGATCATTTCGATATTACGAAAAGGTGGTCGATTATGTCGAGTTCTTTCCGGAGGTGGAGGCTGGGGCAAAAAAGCTGGACTCGTTAGCCTCGACCCCGATCTTGAGTACAGCACCCGGGAGCTACGTGGTGACATAGGATGGAATTTCTCGTTCGGCGAGGATGAAGGTGCCTCTGCCATCGTCAAACAGCAACGGGAGGCACTCGGCGAGATGATCAACGAGGGCGATAGCATCATGTTTCTCCTTGCTCCTCAGGCAAACGAATCTTCTCTGCATGACGCCAACTCTCCGGTAGCTGGAACTTCGAGTTCTGACGCGATCCCAGCTCATACACCAATTATAAAATTCGGACCGATCCCTTCCACAATAGATGAAATACCATCGGATTCACCTCCCGCGGGCCGATCGGGAGGTAGTGCATCGATAATTAGGCACATACCAGACATGTTTGGCATTCTTTCCGAGGGCGGCATGGCGATCAGCCGAAGATCGAACGATCTATGGGGTGTCTCGGAGACCAAGTCAAAGCTTGATGTACCGTTCGGTACTCTTACCATCTGCGGCCCAGAAACGAAGCCTAGCAAGGACAGGTGACTCACCGTCCAAGAAGCGGAGACTCGACTGTTTGGTCGCAAGATGCATGTGGAACAACTGCCAATCATGAATGTTGAATGCACTGCCGAAATGCTAGCAGTGGCAGACATCATTGCGCATGTTTTGTCACTCACTGATGACGATGAGCGGCAGAAGCATAACCTCCGGACCTTTGAATACATCATAGAGGCCCGCATACGACAATTGGCATCGGTCAAATGGGGAAAGATGAGTTTGCGGAAGAGAAACCAGAATTGGAAGAGGCTGACATGTGGCACGATGCATCTGCTGATTGATGCGATGCGCGGCTTCACCAAATCAGAGAGGCAGATTCTTTCCAATTTCATTGACGGTCGGACGAATCCCGCGAAAGCGGCCATTGAGCGAAAGGAGAAAGCTGCTCAGGATCAGGCGAGGGAAGCCGAGAGTCGAGCTATCGCGCTGCGCGAAATCTGGGACGAGCTGAGGAAAGCTGAAGACTAGGTCTCGGTGGACCAACGCTTCAGTTTGCCAATGAACCTATTGATACGAATATGTACAATATTTTTAGTAGTCATGATGTCTTTATAATAACATGTATAGAACTCTTCATTAAATTGAAGCCGTGTACATACTCTTAAATTATGTATCATCGATCATGTATGCGGCTCAAGTGCAATACAATGAGTCTCCATTTTGTTTGAAAATGTCACTGTTCTCCGCACGGACTTGCTTCCGACGAGTCGCCAGCCCTGCTGCACGTGGCTCTCCCGCCGAACCGAGGTCAGGCTCGAGACACGTCGATTGACAGCATATTGGATCCCACAAGGGCACAAAAGATTAGAATACCTTTCGATATAGAGTATCGTTAATAACCACGAAGGATATCTTACTTCGCCGAAACAAAATGGGCGCAGCCGTCTACCCCACAGTCCTTCTGTTTGACATTGGTGGTGTTTGCGTGAGTACGAAACGCCTGTTGTCGAATGCGATTGAATATGACTACTGACATGGCGATACGCATTTAGGTTGTCTCTCCTTTCCAAGCGATTCTTGATTACGAGAAGAAGAATGGCATACCGGTCGGATGGGTCAACCACAGCATCGCACATTCGCCTTCAGGTGCATGGGGCAAAATCGAGCGAGGCCAGATGCTTCTCGACAAGAGCTTCTTTGCTGAATTCAAACGGGATCTGACCAATGAGAAATTATGGCGCGAGTATCATGCCAAATTGAAGGCTCGATCGGGAAAACCAGGCGGGTCTGAAGAGGCTCCGCCGATTCCCGACATCAACTCGGAACAGTTGTTCTGGGAGATGATGCGCATTGCACGAAACCCCGACCCGCACATGTTCCCTGCATTGAAGCGATTGCGACGGGCGGCCGATGCCAGCGAGGGCAAATTGGTCCTGGGTGCTCTGAGTAACACTACCATCTTCCCACCAGAACATCCTTTCAACGATCCGAGCACGGTAGATGGACGATTCAATGCTGAACTTCGGAGTATGTTCGACGTTCACGTCTCATCAGCACATGTCGGCATGAGAAAGCCGGAGAAAGGGATCTACGAGTATGCATTGGTACGCCTACATGAGTTTGTGAAGCTCAAGGGATACGGAATGGGTGTCCGCCCTCAAGATATTACCTTTCTCGATGATATCGGAACGAATTTGCGGACGGCAAAGCAGCTTGGTTTCAACACGATCAAAGTGCAACTTGGCAAGGCGAATCTTGCGGTCGCGGAGCTCGAGAAATTGACTGGTCTCACTTTGAGTTCAGAGAAGGCTCAGCTATGAAATATATGAGATGTTATGATTTCTCGTAAACCCTTTTCAGTCAGTGGCAGGTGTCTACCACAGGCAACCCATGATCTACTGCGATGTTGAATACATGTAGAGATGTGGCAGAAGACCCACGCCAAAGGCCCAACTCTGCCTTGGGAATTGTGATACAATGGCTCCCGACATATATTAAGGTCCGTAAGGGTGCTTTGGAAGGATCAAATGGTCACAAAATACCCATGGACCTCATGAAAACCCAGATGACGATCAACCTTGAGATGTCAACAACCCCAACCCTAATCACATGCCAAAAGCCGGCTGAGCGCACACGCAATGGCGTATTTGTTTAGCGGGCCAAGTGCACGGCAGAGAGGAAGACGTCGTCGTCGTGTTGTGGCTTGGCTCTTGTTGGCGCGTCATCCTCCCTCCGTCTGTTCTCCAACTGTTCCGACCAAGAACACTTTCCTCAATTGCATCCATGGATCGTTCACCCACGCTCTTTTATTTCTGCCGTTTCCTGTCCTGACCGAACGCCGTTGGTTGCTCCACCAAGTGCACATACTCAGATGCTGGACATCTGATATAAGCCGAGCTGTCGCCGTCCAAAATTGAACCACCATTCACTTACACCTACAGCATCTTGATTTACCCTTTACAATGGTCAGCCTGCGCAAAGCTCAGGCTTTCCACCACGACACCGACGCTTATGGCAACAGGCTCACTGCTGCCGAGCGTGAGAGGCTCTTGAAACCATATCTACCAGAGCGACCTCAACCGGCACAGTCTCCTCACTCGTCAAAGAAACAAGGCTTGCTCTTTCACCACAAGCAGCGAGTTCGCCCGGCATTGCGTCACCTTCTCTATACATTAATATTCAATATCGTTCACATTATTTTCTCGGTCTACATCAACCTGCGCAAGGTATACAATGCGATTCACAACCAGGTGTTGTCGTTGATATACTACCATCATCACACACCTGAGCTCATCCAGCGCGACGTGAAAAAGTTGGCAAAAGTCCCAAAGCACTTGAGTGTGATCTTGGAACTACAAGCAGACGGAGACAAAAAGGATGGCTTGGAAACACTCCTACACGACGCTTGCGAGCTGGCCGCATGGACCGCGAGCGCCGGAATCACAACACTTTCGATCTACGAGCGGACTGGCATATTGAAGGCGACGCAACCACACCTTCATCGTCGCATCTCGCGTAGCCTAGCCACTTACTTTGGCGCCTCGGCAGCTTCGAAGCCGACCTTTTCCCTGCGCGCGCCTCATGTGCCGTCATACAGTCCGCCTCATTCGCCAGGCCCACAGATCGCAGATGACGGCCATGATGACGATCCAGAAGTGAGCAATGTTGCCTCGCCGCACCATTTGACCATTCTCCTGATCGACGAGACGGACGGCCGCCAGACCTTCGTCGATTTGACCAAGACGCTCGCCGAGATGAGCCAGCGCGGAAAGTTATCACCTGCGGACATCAGTGGGGACTTGATTGACGCTGAGATCAGCGAGAGCGTCATGGGCGAGCCGGATCTCCTGATTCTGTTCGGCGGACGTGTGGTTTTGGAGGGATACCCGCCGTGGCAGGTCCGGCTCACGGAGATTTTCTATGCCCAGGACCACGAGGGTGGTGTCGGGTATCAAATCTTCCTCCAGGCGCTGTACAAGTACGCCAAGGCAGAATTCAGGATCGGTAGATAAATCATCCCTAGAGATCTAACAGATAATTCGCTTTCGTTTATGGTTGCGCGAGTGCTTCGTCGATTGAACGAAACTTTTGGTTCCCTATTCAACGCTGTTCCCTAAAAGCCCACTATGTTCTTGAATTCGAGCAGTGAGATCCTGATCTGACTCTTTCTACCTATTCCTTCTCATAGCCCGTCATTTTTTTTCCGATTTTTTCTTTTCTATTTGAGCTGCGTCTTGCCAAGGGCGTCCGCCAGATCATCCACGTCCTTGTCCTGCTTCTCAGCCACGGTGGTGTTCTCCGCAGCGTCGGCAGTTTTGACAACCTTCTCTTCCTTTGCAGCAACTTCCTCATCCTCGTCGTCCTCTGCTTCATCCTCCTCCTCCTCATCTTCGTCATCGTCGTCGAGCTCATCTAGCTCGTCAACCCCCCACGCATCCTCATCATCCACATCGACGCCGAGGTATGACTCCGCCTCTTCCTCTTTCCGCTTCGACAGAATCTCCTGCAGCTTCTCAATGTTGGGGTCCTCCTCGGCGAATTTGTTACCATTGAGTTCGACACGTCGCAATCTTGGGAGTGCTGAGGCCGAGCTGGCTGCTTCCGTGATGGCAGCGACACCCTTTGCATCGATATCATTGAATTGTAGGCGAAGCACCTCGATCTTTGCGTTGGCGCCCTTGGCCAAGGTTGCGCCGAGAAGCCGACCACCTCGACCAGACAAGAGGCAGTCACCGATGCCCAAGTCACGCAATTGCGTCCATTTGGTGAGAACAGTGCTCAGAGTCTTGGCGGCAAGTACGGTGAATGTGTTGTCCTGGAGATCCAATGTGTCGAGCTGAGTGCAATTTGAAAGACCATGCTGCAGGAGTGTCGCAATGCCCTCCTGGCGAATTCCGTTTTGCACCATCTTGACGGTCTTGACCTTGTTGTTGGCCGTGTATGCCTTCACCCAAGCTGCCATGCTGCCAGTCTCCAATCGATTGCGTCCGCAGATGACCGTCTCCAGATCAGGAACATCCTTGCCCTCTTTTCGCGCAGCTTCCTTGCTCTCTGCCAGTTGAACAAGAGCCTCGCCAACTATCGCGCCTGCTTTGGGACCGAGACCATTGTTGTTCAGGTAAAGGTGCTGGAGGGGAGTATGTTGGCTGAGGAAGTGTCGCAGAGGCTCGACTGTGTTCAAACCGAATGCGTTGTCGTTGAGGTTGATCGTGTGCAACTTTGGGCACTGCAGAAGAGCCTTGAGCAGTGCGTCTAGAGCAGGAGGAATTTCGGACAGTAGTCGACCGGTGAAGAGGTCAGCGAGGTTGGCATGTTGAAGAGTCTTCTTGGTCGCGAGAATCTTAGCTAGCGCTTCAGAAGCCTCGACTCCGATGGTGTTGCCCTCGAAATGTACTTCCTCCACGTTCTGGTTGTCCACCAAAGGCTGGATGTGGGCTTCCAGGTCAGCGGCGGTGTTCAGCTTGAGAGCCTGTCCTCGGAGACTGAAAGTTTTGGCCATGATGTATGATTTATGACAAAAGGTGCGACCAGGAAAACAATGTAGGTGGAAGCCTTCCCAAAATATATCACCTGTTGTTTGTTTTGTGGTGGGGCCTAGGCCGAGGATCACTAGTGGGGAGCGGCTTTATCGGGCGCCTTGTGCCCGCCGTAAATGCAGGGCTGCCTATCGCCAGACAGGCACAGGGATTAGTTCCGTTGGCAGGGATGTCTAGTATCGTCAACCACTTGATCAGTGATACGGTGCTCACACGATGAGTCGAAAGCTACTCATGGAACACAGGCTCAGATAGACAGTGTGCGGACTCTACCCATGTCGCCGGAGCGGGTTTGGTGATGAATTCCGATCGCTATGCTAAGTGAAGATCTATTGAGTCTTCTTCACGTCCACTTTGCGTTTTGACGAACCTAATAAATCCAGTGCGCCGCTCTGCGAGATCAAATTCCATAAACACCACAAGTAGCACAGCCCAAATCCAGCCGCACCAACGCAGACGTTTGCAACCAACCACAAATCGGGTTTCGATGTTGGCGGCTTGACAAAGTACTCTACACCGTGCCATACGATTGCGACTGCGAAAGTTCCCAAATGGATGATTCGTGATAACCAGTTGAGTCCGCCGTCGCTGGTTGGTTGAAGATATGCCGAAAGATCAAACGGCGGCAAGCCCGTGAGGTAAGCCCAGAGCAAAGTCAGCACAGCATATGGAGTTCGCAGCTCATCTCTTGCCAGTAGCGGAAACATGGTCCAGCAGGCGAGTAGATTAGCATAGCCCACCCAGGCTCGCACAGCTGGTCTGAGACCATTCTCGACCGAGAGCAGGAGTGTCATTGGTAAGAGCGGCAATAGCACATTCTTCTCATGCACTTGATATGAGCAGAGAAAGAAACCCCAGGCTGTCGTTGCAAAAGCGAGCGGAACCAGCTCCTTTTTGGGATTGAGAAACACCACGAGGCATGGGGGAATGATGGATGTCAGCGTCAGACCCAGCGCAGCTTTACTCAGCAGAGCTTGGTCGTACTGGTTGAGCTTATGGATTCCGGATGCATGGATGGTACACCATATGTTGGCCACTTTGTCTTCAAAGAGGCCTCGGGCGAATGGAAAAATGCGATGAATCGCTTGGGCGATCTGAACAACATACGGATAGTATGCTGCCGTTTCGGATAGCTCAAACGGAAGAGCTTGGAGTAAGGGCGGCAGAGGAGTTCCGGCAGGCAATGGTACTGACCGCATTGTGTCGTAGGCCGTGCCAGCCAAAAGTGGCAAGAAAAGTACAGCAAAGGAAAGGACGGTGACAATTGCGATGCTGACGAAGCGTGGTATGTCGATTCGTGGAAAAAAGCAGCTGCCTGCCAGAAATGCTGCAACCACTGGCGCATAGAAAAGAGCCATCTGCTTGAAGCCGAGAGAAGCCACGAAGAACACGCAGCTCCAGAGTAATGAGCCAGAGATCATACTGGCGATCGTAGCCACGACGAAGCCGAGCATGACCGTATTATATTGGAAGTGTCCGTAGTCAATGAGAATGGTTGCGGGCTGCATCAGGATGGCCGCCAGCGCGATGGATGATTCCCAGGCATTGATGTTGTACAATCGGGCAAAGTGGCGTACGCAGATCACGACTGCTGGAATGTATAGGAGATATTCGGAGACTGCGACTGTTGACCTCATGTAGACCTTGAGGTCGGCATCGTCGAGACCACGTGAAAGATAAAGAGCGAACCATGATGGGTCGAACAGATTTCCCACCGTGCCAAGGATCCAGGAATGATACGCAGTCAAAGGCGGATAGTCCAGGCCCCACCATTCCAGATCATGAAAGTACCAATGTGTGACCGGCAAATTGATGGTCAATTCCATCCAGTGTCGTTGAGCCTCAAAATCGCCATGCATTGGCGGCCGCTGAAAGCCTGAGTAAGGCCACAAGGAGGTACTCCATCGGAAGAGACCAACCACCATCAAGATACAGGAAACAACAGTCCATGCTGAAAAGTGTGCCTTTGCTGGCCAAAGGAATGCGACCAAAGGAAAGGCTGGTTTCTCCTGGCCCGATGATGCATCCAGGATAATGCTGCCATTGATGCTGCCGGTGGTGAATTCGACCTTGCGCTTCCGCCTTGGACGATGTGACGGCGCCATGGTATTTGATAGGACAGAAAACAGTCACCGGCGCATCATGTGGGCTGATGGCGAGAACAGTATTCACAACGACAATGTCGACGATGTCTTTGAGATGTGAAATCACGTGCAGGCGACGTTGACAATGCGCGAATCTGGCCCTCCGCTGTCACGTGACTGTCACCAACGTCGCCAGAAGCCTAAGACGCGACTTCACGGGCTCTTCGAAGTTGAGACTGCAGTGACGGCGACGATACTGTTACAATCGTAGAGTGAATTGCTTGGACGCATGGTCTGGCCAGGAGCGATATGCCTGCAACCAAGTCTTGCTGCGGTCAGATGGTCATCATAAAGCCCATAAATACACCACTCACAACACCTCACGTCGAATATAATTGCATGTAACGTTAGATTGGACGTCGGACCCGCAAAGATGCTAAATCGATTCCCGTAGACACGGACTATCTACACGACCTTCCAAAACGGCTCTCGAGAGAATTGTGGACCACGCGTTCCGTTCAAGATTGGTCTCATGCTGTCGTCATTCTAACCATCAAACCTCTTGAATACGACACAAAGGTCGACGCTCGCGTATCACCGCCACCTTGCCTGAAGCATCGACGTCAGCATTCCCAGGTCCTAGATCATAAGCAAGTGCAATTCAGAATAGAGATCTGATAGAATGACAGAAATGAGTGCCGCCTGGAGAGCGTTAGATCAGAAATATGGTATGATCCCAGGATATGTATTCGAATTTACCAGCACAAGGTCCGAGTTCTCGGGAATTTCCATTTCCCAGGTCGGCGGTGACACCTTCAGCATGCTCGTGAAAGACGGGCTCATGTTGGTACAGCGGGACTTTGCCATCTCTTCGCCGCTGTCGAGCTGGACGCTGAAACTGCCCAGCCATTTACTCGTTCGGTGGATCTTGAGTTGCGGAGGTTCGGCGTGACCGTTGGATAATCCTTCAAAGAGAATGGAGCATCCTGGCGGCGACCATGTGTATCGAACGGATAGCAGAGTTTTGTTGTCACGGACAACGGTCCAGCAGTCTTCGCTTGATAGGTAGGAATGATTAAGAGTGCAAATGGTGGTCCCGGTCGTGTCCTTGAGCGTTCGCAATTTTCCCCAATGCTTAGTTTCGACGGTGAATAGAGGGTTACCATCGCCATTGATAGAGATCTCGAAGCTGCGACCCGTGTGTTTCACAAAGGACCATGTCTTTTGTCGCGTCTTTAGCGTCGTGCGCTGAGCAACGATATGCTCGTCGCCAAAGAGAACTATGGGAGAGGACATAAGGCCGGAGGGATTGTGGTGCCAAAGATTATGCTTTCTCAAAAATCAAGCCTTGGAATGTGCAAAAAATGACAGTGCTAGGACATATCAACGAAAAAACCAAAGTACTTATCTACTTATTTATGTAACGACGCCCTAGCAACGAGGCGCAGTTCCACCAGACAAAAACTTTAAATTGTGGACATGTTGTGGCAATCCTTTGTCTTGATATCCCAAGGTTGTCGATCTCATAATCTACGAGGGCGAAAATGAGCGTAAAGGATGTAAGCTGTGGAACAGCCTGCTTTAGGTGGCGTTATACGCGGAGCATTATCATATGAGAGCACAAACTTTTTGGCAAAACACTTAATACCATTGCGCAGAACAAGATTAAAAATTGATGCTGGATCTTCTAATTGTCTGCTCAAATCGCAGCTCTATCATACGACTTGTTGAACACGTTCGGTCGTCGTTCCCTATCTTATCAGGATATTCCACTTGGACCTCTGGTCCAGGTAGATTTGGCCGCGTAAAGAGGGTCTCTTGCGCCGCACTCATTTCAGATGGCCGACTCGCTGTTTGAAAGGAATGGATCATTGCTGTGGTTCTGCTCAAGAAGCTCGGTATGCGAAAGTGTTCGAATCTGTGTTTCGACAAAATGTTTTTCAGTCCATTACGGCGGTGCAAACAGCGCGGTGTCGGTCTGGCAAACAGTACCAGGCGCAGGAAGTGTGCCATTCAGGAAGTATTGCTTCACGTGCCTGTCGGTACAGGCGGAGCTTTGGGCGACTGAACAATGCTATTGCCAAGAAAAGACATGGTCAGTATGAGTTTCATAATAATTCATAACGTTTGCAAGGAAAGGCATTTTCACACATGAAGATTGATGAAGAGGTCGAACATGGAACGAAAACAGTAAAAGGGGAAGTAGGGCTGTACTTACTCCGTAACCGTTCTGAGCGAGAACTTGGCTTCCGTTAAACGCGGCACTGGCATTTCGGGCCGACACTAGGGGTGTTATCGGATCGAACGTGTTGCCGATGAACATGATAGGGTGTCGAGTTGCAATGTTCTTAAACCCGCCATTGTAGATCTCCTTGGCTCGAAACGGCCACCGAGAGCATGGCAGCACCTGTGCCGCGACCAGGACATCTCCAGCGAACTCACTCCGCCCGAAGAACTCGTCGGCGAGCGGTAGCAGATCCGTGAGATTGGACGCACGGAAGGCACTGTCGCTGCAACGGATCGCCCATATTTGTTCTGGAAGGATCGTCTCAGGAAAAACCGGCGGGCTTGTAGTCGAGAGCAATTGGATCGATGACGTGACCGCTGGTCCGTCTCGCTCCAGGATGGACCGGAGTAAAGACGAGATAATTGGCAAAAGCGACGGAGTTTTGAGGGCTTCATACATGAAGGCCTTGAGGGTCCCATAATCGACATACTGAGTGGTGGGGTCCGGGCCGAACGCTAAAGGACTGCGCTTGAGATCCTTCAGCAGTTGCGTGATAATTTCGAAAAGACTCTGGCTCTTCCCCTGAGCGTACGAGACGAGGGGACAACGCTCAGGAGAGAGCTGACAGCTCGCAATAAAACCGGCGTAAGTCGCATCTGAGTCTGTGGCCTGCTGGACGTCTCTATATTGTCATATCGTCAGGGCTTTCATCCAAAATGATGCAAATGCTGAGAAGGAGAAACAGGAGGCTATAGTGAGACGTACCGGCCTGCGTAATACTCATGGGGATTTAACACGCCATCTATTATCACTCGGTCGACCTTGTCGGGGAACATGGCAGCGAACGTCATGCCTAGAGCAGTTCCATATGAAAATCCTGTAGCAAATGTCAGAACAAGCTGCCTCACGATTTCTTTGAAAATCGCCGTTCGCGCACCCCAATACCGTAGCAAGCCATCCTCACCCAGAGCATCCACGATGTGCCTCATATCGCGCGCAACAAATGCGGTTCCGAGCAAAGTTCCAGTTTCCGCGAGTGCCTTCGAGCACGCGGATGCGATAATTTCTGCCACTGCCCATCCTTGTCCTAGCGACACATCTGACGGATCAACAGCCGAAGGCAAGATCGCGCTGAGTCTAGCTCGCTGCACAGCGTCAGAAAAGCATGACACAGGGATCGTGTCGCCGGTTCCCCTAGAGCATCACGGCATTAGCTTTGCCGCTCTACGGAGTATACTGCATTTTTTCGGCTACAGCGGTGCATGTCACTCACCTGGGATCCCATGATACAATGTCAAAAAAGCCGCCAGTAGTACTGCAATTCGAATCAGAGCTGCCACAAATCACTTGCGACAACATGGAGGATTTAGAGGTTTGGTACAAACTTTTGAATTAGAGGGCCCAGGCCTATCAGTGCGTTGCGACCTCCGTAACCAGGTCCGCCCGGATTAACGAGGATACTCCCTCGCGACGGCTGCTGGGAACTGGGCAATTTTGCCAATTTCAATGTCAAAGTGGAGACATTGCCACCGGTTGCCGAGTAGTCAAGCGGCACATCGAGAGTACCACAGAGAAGAGGGACGGTCGAATTCAACCCGCATGGGGTCCAGACGATGGTCTTGTTGTAGCTGCTGGATCCCGCGCTGGACGAATTGGCTATCGCAGTCGCAGTGGTGCACGTTGACAAAGCCAGTAAACACAACAAGAGCCGCGCTCGGGATCCATTTAGAAACATTGCCGCCATATGCCAGACGCCCAATCGAAGGATGAAGAGGGGCAAAGGAGGCTCAATGTATCCAAAAGGAGATAGCAGACAGGTTCCTTGTGAGCAAGGGAGATTTCAGAGAGTCCTTGGGGGTGACAGACATCGTGACACTTTATATCTTTTTGGACAGCGCCAATAGCCGCTCCAGCGATTGTGAAGGGCGGTCGGAGCTCATCACACATGTAATTCTCAAGATGCGCCATGGCCGTCGCCGGCATCCCGAATCGTTTGTATGCTTACACGTGTTGACAAGGTGTGCTCTGTGCATGGCCTTGTTGGTGGCTAACAGCGGACAGCGGACATTGGACGAGTGAGTCTGGGAAAGTTTTGGTCCGCTTCCATTACGCTCCATCGTTCATCATCATGGGTGTAAGACTACGGAGAGCCTTGAGGTCGTCATCGTACGATGGAGAGTAATGAGCCGCGATTCGATCAATGTGTCAAGCGTCTTGAATGTGGTGTATGGGATGTTAAGGTTCGCAAGGCTTGCGCCACAGGCCGATCGTCACGCATAATTCGATGACAGTTGGGCGACGCGCAATTATTCCGCTGCGCTATGACACAGCACAGGAGTAGCCACTCCGACACGCAGACGGACGGATATACATGCCCACGATGCCATAACATCATCTAGCTATCATATAATACACCCAGCCCTATTGATCCACACGGCTTTCATGGTTAGTAGCGTCGTTCAGCTTGTCTCCTGATTGGCGAGGGCCTTGTCGATCTCCACAGCCGCCTGGCCATGTTACCCATGTGGGCCTGTTAGATTCCTGTGTGCCATGTCCTTGGTGTGCAATGTCCGTTTCATGCAATGTCCTTCGCACAGCCTCGTTCATCTTACACCAAACCTTGGAGCTACTGTATAAGACTGGCCCGTGCTATGTCCGCGCATTTTGTGACGGCACCCGGGCGATTCTGATTCGTTTAGTGCACGTTGGTATTGCTTTTTGCAGGCACTAGTGAGCGACTGCGCCTCTCGTCACATTTCCCGATGTCACAACACGGATACTGGTTCCGAATCCAGAAATTGGTATGACGTTTGAACACTTCTGACATCTCGTGATCGCTTAGGCCTTCCATATCACGACGCTGCATATTAATCTCATGTCCCAATCACCCTCATCAGCTGGCGGTATGGATTCTGAGTGTTGACATCTCCATGATTGTGATATAGCCCTCATTATTTGATTTGTATTCATTCTCATTGACACAGCTTGTGAAATGGCGGGAGAAGGTGTAGTTGGTACGTTCGAAACAATCGACATCGATCACAAAACGCGCACCCCTCCTGAAGAGTGCGAAAGGCTAACCTCATATAAATCCATCGTTAGTCCCCAGGAGCTGGTTCACGTATCAGCCAAATGCCGGCGCTGCCATATTCTTCACGGTTGGATTTTCAATCTCAGCTTTGTGGCATTTTTGGCAATGTGTGTAAGTAGATACATAAAGACCTGTGCTATTCTTCAAGACAGCCGAATGACTCCTTCGCCAGTCGATTCAAGATGTTCCGTGCGACGCTGTTGCTCGCCGTGACGGCCGCTGTATTCGCCGCCGGATTTGGGCTTCGCGCCCAGGGCTCATATGATTACGGAAATTTGGGCATCTATATCGCGAGCACGATGCTCGTGTATATGGCGCCGTGAGTTCTCCCCTCTCCAATCTCTTCGCTCTTGGATACGACCTCCGTAGTTCTACGGCCTTTGTCCAAATGGCGCGCTTGCTAAATCATGCTTCATCACAGACCGATCAATGAGCTTGCAAACTTCCACATCCTTGGTCGCCTTTTCTATTATGTTCCATATTGTGCTCCGATTCATCCTGGACGCACGTTGACAACATTTGGAGCCTTACAAGCTGTGGTCGAAGCGCTGAACGGGATCGGCATCGCGTGGTTCTCCAATCGAACCCTCTCGAGCGACTTCCTAAAAGTCGGCGGTGCGCTACTCAAAGCGGCTTTGATTATCCAGCTGTTCGTCGTCCTCGCATTCGCGGGATTGCTGTCTGTGTTTTACTACCGATGCCGGCAAGCCAACGTACTTTCGCGGAAAGTGTTTGCTCCAGTGTGTATACTCTACACGAGCACCTTCTTCATCTTCGTACGCTGCGTCTTTCGGACCGTGGAGATCTTCGTCGTTTATTCCGACGTCAACACGTCAGCTGTCGAGGTCAGCACAGCACCTTTGCTCCGGTATGAGTGGTATTTCCTGGTCTTCGAGGCGTCGCCGATGTTCGTGGCGACTGTGATCTGGAACATCTTCCATCCTGGTCGATACCTGCCCCATCTTCACCGCGTCTACCTCGCGAGGGATGGTGCCACAGAACTTAAAGGCCCAGGCTGGACAGACAATCGCTCGCAATGGAAAACCTTCGTGGATCCATTCGATTGGTTCGGTCAATCGAAGTCTGAAGTGCCGTATTGGGAGACGGATGGCATTCAGCCCGCCTCTGAGCTATCGAAGAAATAGTTAATTCTTTCAATTCAACAAATCCAAGGCTTTGGAGACCACCCGGTGTCATCTGTGTTTTTGTACTAGCATCGCCATTTGCAGAACCTTTTGACGTCATGCTCGCTGCTTTCCCTCCCATACTTGTACAAGCACATGCAAGATTTATCATCGCATCAGAAATCGAAGTATTTCGCAGTCGTAGAGAATATGCGAAAGTCTCTTTGAGGTATCACGACACACCATCTCAGATAACTCCCGGGTGAGAAATGTGATATAAGTGCTCATTCGGGGCGTATCTTAGTCCAACAAGTGGCCTGTCATGACATAGCTCCTCATCTCGATGGGGCTGGCATGATGAAAAGTTGTTCTGCACAACGAGACGTAGATCGTTCAAAAACGACGACAACGGCTGGGAACTTGAGGTAGATGTGTGACCGGGGAAGCTTACATATTCCGCATATCCAAGGGTTATTACTCTGTTCCATACTCGACACTCTGAGTTCGTTCATTGTGCTAAGCATTTGGCAACCTGCAACTCAAAAACAGAGGATAGATCGAATCAGACGACCACCTATGGAAAAGAACGCACTTTGTTTTGCCTCAGGCGTGAGTACCTCAATTGACTTGGGACAAGACATGTGCACGCGACCATCACCCAGGAGGTGTGTTCTTGTCGCATTTTTTCTTCTGCGCTAGACTCCAAGGGCCTGGACGAAGATCCCCAGCCATTTCATCACCACCGAGAAGCCGCAAAGGCACATGAAAGGGTCTTTTTCGTCTAGCAAACTGCCAAGATTTCGCCCGAGGGCACGTGCACTGAGAGCTTTCGCCGCCGACCGACTTCCCAGACCGCAAACTTCAGGCGTTAGCGCGGAAAAAAAAGAAATCTTTCGGACATAAAAATTCGCCCTGATCCGTCAGGTTTACTGGACAATTCCTCCTTCCTTCTTCACATTTACTCTATCAGTGGGAGTTTCACAGAGTGTTGTTGCACAGTCAAAGGATTTGTTCTATTATCAACCATCTTCGTTGAGACCAGGACAACTCTTCGCGCATTGCGCAGTTGCATATTTCGGTTCGTGGCTTCCTATCCTCGTTCGCTCCGCCCTCAACCAGCGTTGTGTCTGAGTGATTGCATTGATGCGCTCTTATGAGCGTCGACTTTTCTTCCATACCTCGTGCTTCGGCCGAGGGTGTTCGTCAGACCAGTGGGCAATGATTTCATGTCGCGCATTCACGCCTCGGTGATTGTGGGAACACCTTCCACCTTGGCGGCGCGATCAGTTGGCATATGGCGATTCAATCGCTAGTGGGCTTTGCAAACCTCTCCTTCGGGTGAGCGTCTTACTGAGGGCTTCTTCGAGTACACCACGTCTTCGTGGCTGTCTGTGGGCTTATCTGAGGGCTTTATTGGCGACCTGGTCGCTTGTGGGCTATTGCTGCTGCTGCTATTACTGAGAGTGAACGCTAGCCGTTCCTGTTGCTGGGTTTCTGAGACGAGAAAAGTCTTCTGTGCAATCGACTCATGTCGACTGCCATCTTTTGGGATCGCTCGGGCGAATCATACTGACTCGCGAGACAGAAGTATCATCACAGACCCTCAGCAATGGCTAAGGATAAGAAAGGAACCAAGGTCGCTGCACCTACCAAGGTCAGCGAGCCTGTCAAGGCTGGCCGTGTGAGCAAGCCGGCTGAGAAGGCCAAGGCTGTCGTTGCCAAGAAGGGCGCGGAGAAGGAGAAGTCGAGCAAGAAGGCCAAGAAGGCTCCCACTCCCGAGTCATCCGACGATGACGACGAAGAGGAGGCTACCTCCGTCAGCTCCGACAGCTCCGATGAAGATGAAGAGGTTAAGCCTAAGGCTGCTGCCAAGACCAACGGTGCCGCAAAGACCAACGGCAAGGCTGCCGCTAAGAAGGACGACAGCAGCGACGAGGACAGCGAGGATGACGACTCATCCGATGACGACGATGAGGCTCCTGCTGCCAAGAAGGCTGCCGCTCCCAAGGCCAACGGCAAGGTCAACGGACACGCCAACGGCAAAGCCGCCGATGATTCTGAGGAGGACAGCGAGGAGGACAGCGATGACTCCGAGGACGACGAAGACGTCAAGCCAAAGGCAGCTGCCGATGACGATGATGAGGTTCGCATAACGCATCCAACGATGACACCCATACACCATGCTGACATTTCCATAGGATGATGACGACGAAGACGACAGCAGCGATGATGACGAGGAAGACGAGGAAGAGAAGGCCCCCGTCGCCGAGAGCAAGAAGCGTAAGGCTGAGACTGCCGCCGAGAACACCGCGAAAAAGAGCAAGGCTGATGAGGAGTCCGGTGCATCCGCAAACCTTTTCGTTGGCAACCTTAGCTGGAACGTCGACGAGGAGTGGTTGACTCGCGAGTTCGAGGAGTTCGGTGAGATCAAGGGTGTACGCATCATCACCGACCGCGAGTCTGGCCGCAGCAAGGGGTTCGGATACGTCGAGTACACCAGCGCTGCCGATGCACAGAAGGCTCTCGCCGCTCGTCACGGCTACCTGCTTGACAACCGTGAGCTTCGTGTGGACACTGGCGAGTCCCGCCCTCAACAGACTCCTCAGCAGAAGGGCTTCGACCGTGCCAACAAGTACGGCGACACCCCCAAGCCCCCATCCAATACCATCTTCGTCGGCAACGTTAGCTTCGATGCCGATGAGAATGCCCTGTCCGAGGCCTTCGGCGAGTACGGTACCATCAAGGCCGTCCGTCTCCCTACCGACCGTGACACTGGTGCCCTCAAGGGTTTCGGTTACGTCGAGATGAGCTCCGTTGAGGAGGCTCAAGCCGCACATGAGGCTCTGCAGGGTGCCGACATTGCCGGCCGCAACATCCGCCTCGACTTCGCTTCTGAGCGCAGCAACGATGGCGGCGACCGCGGCGGACGTGGTGGTGGCGGTGGCCGTGGCTTCGGCGGTGGTCGCGGTGGCGGACGTGGTGGCCGAGGAGGATTCGGTGACCGCGGCGGACGCGGCGGAGGACGCGGTTTCGGTGGAGGCCGTGGCTTCGGCGGTGATCGCGGCGGTCGCGGCGGTGGCCGTGGCGGCTCCACCAACCGTGGTGGATTCGGCGACTTCAGCGGCAAGAAGATCACCTTCTAGGGGAGGAAAAGAAGCGTTGACCTTGTTGTCCTGTATGATGTTGCTTGCTACTGCTGATGACCCGACCACGATTGGACCATGACGACGGAGAGACCAAAAAGCATTGTGAGAGCTGCGGTTTTTTTTTGCACATCGAGAGTGTAGTATATTGGCGTTGATAATTGCGTGGACCAAAATTTTCATTTAATTTCAACCTTCATCAACCTTTCTCCAGTTCGCACAGAACATTGCCGACGTTGACCAGTGTAATAAACATCCACAGTACTCAGAATCATCAAGATGAGACAATTGTATCACTTCTCGTCAACCTCACGCGATATCCCACGTGTTTAGCGATTTGCTGCCCGCCCATGTGTTCTCAATATTGATTCAGAGCTTGACGTATGGACGGGGAGGCATGGCGAGGGTCGTCGGCAGGACCGTGAGAGACTTCCATGGCATAGTTCAATGGCATATAGCAAACGGATGATTGTACATGTCTGCCTTGAGTGTGCCATTGGCGCACAAGTCATATCATCATCCTGCCCAGAGACATCCATGACATTACCGCAGTCCTCGTTACATTATCGAGAACGGACGGATGAGGGGTTTAGCGCTAGAGAGCGCCTGCGTCCATCACGAGGGTCCAGGATGAAGCTATTCCCATCACATACTGTCCGTCGACTTATCATCATGTTGGGCCCAGACATCACGCGTGGATGACGACCAAGCGCCTTGACACCTAGCGTTTGCGGCGGAAGCAGGGAATCGCTGGCAGGTCACCAGCCAAGGCAGTAATGGTAATTGCGGTGGTACATCGTAGCAGGAATGACATTCTCATTGGTAACTGTTCATGCATGCGGTCGAGTGGCTGCAGGTGAGTTGGGGAATCTGGTATCGAACTGAGCTGCATCTATCTATTGTCAGTGCGTCCGGTAGATGATGTGTGCGCGCGTGTGTGTTTGTGATGATGGGGCGGGTTTGCCCCACCATCCATGGGCCCAGGTCATGCTGGCTGTCGATCCATCCTCATGTCCTGCCCTGCCCTGCCCTGCCACACCACCACGAGGACACCCAGGCCGCCACCACTTGTCTCTTGTGCTGTATCATGCACGCGACGAGCGCTCTCACATCTTCCAGTACCACATACGCGTTACCGCCTTGTCTGGTCCGAATCAGAACGACAGGTCGAACATGTACGATGGGAAGATTGCAGTGTAGGAGCCATAACAGCCAGAAGACGTCAATGAAACGGTGGGGCAAGAGTAGTCCAGTTTCGTCCCCAGATTCATGAAAAGGAAGATACGGCGACGGGACGGAGGATCCATTCACCTGCAGCACATTTGGAGAGCTCGTGCCTGCAGGGAAATAGAGAGGGAGACGAAGATACACTGGACACCCAGGAAGATTATTAGGGGAGTCGTGGGAGTATCTACTGTAGATGCCGGTTGCGAACCGTCCCGGCTTCTCTCTTGTTGGGCGCATGCGCCTTCGTCGTTGTCGCGTCGATGCTAGTTACAGCTGGGCAGTACTACTGTATGCAGTTAGCAATTGGCGGTCAAGCTGCTTCAAACCGACCCAACGCTGGTCCCTGCTGTGTGTGGTGCTGTGCTGTACTGTGCTGTACTGGACTGTCGATATCCAGTCCGATACCCGCGAATGCCAATTCCACTGTCTGCCCGTGATAACAACAACCTGTAGGCATTCGAATGGGCAAGGCAGGGATGCGAAGTCGGAGAAGAGGATGGACAGCAAGATCATACGCCTGCTAGGGTACAGTATACAGCGCTTATCACCGTGTCTTTGTCTCTTGTGATCTATCACTGCCATCACAATGAATGGTCTGGGCAGACAACACATCCGATCCGCTATACTCTACCGAAGCACAGCACAGGATACACATACAGTGGGTGGGGACATCCAGCGCAGTACTCTCGTGCATTATTACGTGCTCATCGCCAGGGTTCATGCCCTCCCACCCATCGCCGCACCCGCTGCCACCACCACCCAACATTGTATGCGCCTGGCAATACATTACTTCCCTCGTTGGGACTCTCGTTTCTACACTCGCACTCTTACATATGCACATGCTACATTATTATTCGAACAAAGCGTGACTCTCGTGATTCCGCATCAAAAGCAGCAGCGGAAACAACAACAAGAGCATCGAACCTCCTCAGTCCTACCAGCGGCACCAGCGCTCACATGGGCCACTATCCGCCGGATCATGTGCCAGACACAACGTCAGGCGAGGCGCGACTGCGCAATGATGGTGAGTTCACCAGACGAGTCGTTTCTCCCTCTCCAACAATATCATTACACCTCGAGTTGCCTCCTTCATATCCTGTTCGCCAATAACTCACCCTCACCGTCCGACAACATCCCCGCACATGCGCGGGCAATATGACGCGTTCGTGCCCCGCCAGCCCAGTCCACGCTGACCAACGACCTTCAGTTCACGATCAACCCGCGCTTGACTCTTGGGTCGAGGTCACCAGTCAGGCTTCGAGTTCAAACTTATCAGACATCGTCTTGGACGGCCTGAACGTACAACATCCTCCTCAGACGGCACGACGAAGGACGATGGACACCGGCGCCCCGACCAGGTTGAACGTGATGCGCCCGTCAGACATGGGCGGGATGAGCAGCAGTCAAGAGGAAACCGAGGAGAGCGAGAGTGAGCCTGAGAGGCGAGATATCCGAATGGGCAGCCATCAGACACAGGCAGCCACTGCGAACGCCGCGAATGTCGTCTTGTCGTCGGACGACGACGAGAACCGGACTGCGATCAACCAGCCACTCAGTCGAGGTTCCAACTTCATGCCTCGGCCAAATGCGTTCAGTCACCCGTCTGCCCATCACATGCGTACTGCCAGCCAACCTGTCCCTGGATCATATTTCCCCGAATCGCGATCACAACCGACCATGCGACGACGATACTCGCGGCCACAATCGGATGTCCGTCGGCCAAGCCATCTCCCTCACAACATCCTCTCTCCTACGTACAACGTGGCGGTTGAGCATGATGAGGCTCTTAGAGCGAGCTTGAATAGCCTGCTCTCAGTGGCGGCGGCGGCGCGAGGGCACAGCAAACCAGAGGCCAAACGCACTTCACCGCCCGTCGCCAATGTTGCACCACCACGGAGGAACCAGATTGATCCATCGTCGCTCCGTCTAGTTCCTCAATCTGCCTTGCCGACCGCTGCTCAGGCACAAACCCACGAGCCTACCTTTCAACCCACCATCCCGCGACGACATTCAATCACATCCATATCCACATGCTCCGAACAACCGCCACAACAACAACACAAGCAACGCGACCCAGAACACAAGCGCAAACCCTCCACCAGCCGCAACACCAGCCAAGAGCGCCGCGCACAGAAGAAGACCCGCCGCATCGTCGCTCCCGGCGAAGAAGTCATCATCTCACCCACCATGATGACCTGGCTCGTGTCCGCCGGCGTCGTCGTCTTCCTCAGCGCCTTGAGCTTCGGCGCCGGCTACAGCATGGGCCGAGAGGCCGGTCTTCTCGAAGCACAAGGCCTCGCGGGCGACGGCCAAATGCGTGCCTGCGCCCAAGATGTCGGGCGCTCCTCATTGGGACTCCGGAGATCTCTAGCACGGACAGCCATCCAAGCTTGAAACCGACCCGGAAGTCCCACAAGCATTGTTATCAAAGGCATATCTTGACTCGAAAGGTTTCGCCAAGCTATGGCGAGCCTTTGAAAAATTCCATGTCGAATCTCGATCGCTTCAACCACTTTCTCTTTCGTGGCAGAGGCCTTTCAAAACCGAGACCTGCGCGGAGGAGGAATTTGAATCCCCCAAGTCCAGAGGACATTTTCTTTTTTTTTGTTTCTTGGTTTTTTCTCCGGCGGAAATGATACCATGCATGGCATACGATACCACTCTATCGATTTATGAGAAATCGACGGGGAATAATGACGGAAACATCATCGGGACCGGGGGGGGGAAGAGCCCATCATCACCATCTTCCCTTCCACCTCCGGACCATGTCTTCCCTTTTCTGGCGCTATCCGGGCGCAGTGTTGCCTTTTCATTCTATTTCGTTGTTGGGGAGCGGGATTGTTTGTGCATATTTGATCGATCATGATGTGGGGAAGGGGGGAGGGGGGGATCTTATGGAAACGAGCGAGGGAAGAAAGCATTTATTTCAACTCCCCAAGATCCATTTTTAGGAATGCATAGCGTGCCGTGATCTGGAACTTGATTTTCCACCTTGATGTTTATCCCCCCCGTCTCCGTGTTTGGACGACCTGCTCACCATCTCTTTCTGTAGCGCTGAAATATCATGCCGAATCGCTCGCCCACATCATGACTTCGACCATTTTGCGAAGAACGTCAGGAAGGGGCACCCGGGATGATGACAATCTCATGTCGACGCAGGACCGAGCGCCTCTGTTCCCTCTGTCCCCCCCTTTTTTTTCCACACCGATCGTGGGATCGGAATCTCCGGGTCACTGTCTGTCTGCCCGGACGCGAGTAGGAAATAAGTGATTGAATTTTTTTGGCAGAAGAAAATGGAAAGGGGC